CATCGCTCACCTCCGTCAACCACCGCTTACTGGACGTCATCAGTCGACGTCATAACGTGGAAAGCTAGTAACCCTTTCCCGCCTGTGGGACAAGGGGCATCTGTAATCATCATCTTATAGTGGATTTTTACAACTGGGCAAGGCCCCGTGGTTTTTCCCTTTTTACGGGTTTTCCACGTAAAAATTTCTGGTGTGATCACAGCTTGATTCACTTTCATCTGAGTGTGTGCTGCATTTTCGTGCAACGCTAAGACGATAATCCATTACTCTACCGCCGCGAATTTTCTAGCACGCATCATAATTAATCATCGTTTAAGAACTATTAAATCATAATTAAAAATATGTGTAATTATTTGATGAAAAGGAAAATTAAAAGGTTTAGGTTAATAAATAAACCTGAAATAAACAACCCTTAAATTACTCAAAATTAAGGTTTAGGGGCTTTCATTTTTTTTTTTTTTTTGAATAACAATGGGAAAGCCATGATCATCAATACTCTTGACGCTTATTTTTTCCTTTCAGCTAACTTGTTTATGCTTCAAGCCTTATTATGAGATTAAAAAAAATGCATTTCATTTCTTCACTAAAAAAAAAAAAATCTACATGATGGAGTAATCTAAAATTTTGTATAATTACTTTTGTGCCTTTTGCATGGACAAAAGCTTCTTTGCATCATCCGCAATTCCACTGACTCATTTTCTCTAATATGGTTTGTTTTAGTGAAATTCACTGCCATCATACCTTCGTAGTATTTTCATAATTATACGTTATTATACCTGTAAGTTGTTAACCGTTTTCTTGGATATATTCTACAATATTATTTTGCATCATCATGCAGCTTTTTGATACTTCAAAATAAACATTCTGATTCTCTTCACTTTTCTTACTCATAATAGTTCTTTTATCAACGGATGTATCTTTTCTTCACTGTCATTGTTTAACACCTTTATCAAATTTTTGTTTTTCTTTTTTTCATTGTTATTGTTTAACACCTTTATCAAATTTTTGTTTGCAGTCATACAATCCTGCGCTATATTGCTGAGACATCCCCAGGAGTTCCGGATAACTGGTAGTTCAAGCTTGTCATGTCATATCTCGTTATATATTCACAAACATAATAATGGGAGCTTACTCATTTATTTTAAATGTAATCAACTTAATTTGTGATGTTTTTCCTGACATGTTCGAAATGATCTGTAAGGAGAAATTGCCCATAGCCTTTCAGTTGAAATTATTATAAACTGAAGTTACTAGTTCCCCAGAAATCTGTGTAAGGCTGCCAGTCATAATAAATAATAATTAAAATTGATATTTATCTGTCCTTTTCTTGAAAAAGAAGAAGTATGGAGAGAAGATGTTCACTTTATTTGTCTAAAGTTACCATCTATTCTTTTTAAAATTTGTTTTTTTTTATCCTCTATTTGATAAAAAGCAGGATGATTTCTTTGAAAACATTTCCATAGAAAATGTACAATTTTTGCATGCTTATTTTGACCCACAATTTAATATTTTAGACATTACGAATGGTGCTTCCTCATAAGTCATAAATAGGACAAGTTTTTCTTATGAGCTATTAATGTTAATTTACTAGCAACTTCACAATTTCTTATGATCCTCAACTTTATTTCAAGCTTTTTTTTTTTTTTTTTTTTTTTTTTTTTTGAAGGTATCCTGCTGATTTTATCAGTAGAGCCAAAGTTAACTCTATTTTGGACTGGCATCACTCAAATCTACGTGTTAGTTCAGGTATGCTTGGTTCAGCATTTTATTTTATCATTTGACAATTGTATTACGTTGTCAGCCGCTTAGAGTATAATTTTCATATGAATAACTTCCTAGGTAGCGCTAAGCAATCTTTTAAGTTTCTTTAAATTTTCTATAAAGTTTAAAATTAGGATGAAAATTAGTTTGTTATTTCAAGTAAATGGCATGACTTTTTAATGCAATCAATACCTCATTAAATGGGATATTTTTATCCAATTAAATCACAAATATCTACAGTAGCTCTAAAATAATGGTTAAAGATTAAAATACTGAAGTGCAATTCACGTAATTTGCTACTTCTGAGGAACTAATAACAAATTTAAGATTGTTTTTCAAAGGAAATTATGATCCACAATGGTAGTAGACCAAAACTGAGGGAAAAGTACTTTCCACCTATGCAGTCTATTTAAATAGCTACAGGCATAGAAGGATGTTCCCAAAATGACCTGTTTACTAAGGGCTTATTTAGGATGACTTTTGTTTTTTTATTTTTTGTTTTATAGAACCATTTTTGTTTAGTTCATGTTTTTATTTTTTGCTTTCAAAAACAAAATTAGTTTGCTTTTAAAATTTTCAAAATATCTAAAAGTTATTTTAAATGTTTTTTAAAACAATTAAACAGGTTATAATATACCGTACTTATTTTATTTCAAATAAAATATAAACAAAATAAAATAAAAAATAAAAATTAAAAGTTAAAAAATCAAAATGAAAAGTTATTCCAAACAGCTTCTGCGCTTTTGCCTTCAACTTATCGATTAAGCATATGCTAGACTTTCGAACTAATGATCCTCGAGCTTGATATCTCTATTTGTGATTGAAGCACTTTTACGTTGTCAATGATTACTCCATGGAAAACAGTTACCTTTGTAATGAACACTGTACTGGCACCAAAATTTGGACGTACAATGAATCCTCAAGCTGCAGCGGAAGCTGAGAAATCTCTGTCATCCTCTCTGTCAATCATTGAGTCCATGTGGCTTAACGGAGATGCGGAATTCTTTTTGGGAAATCCTAAACCATCTATTGCAGACCTTAGTCTTGTCTGTGAAATTACGCAATCTGAGGTAAAATATCGATTCAATCTTTGCTATTTTCTTACAAAAATTCTAACTGCTGAATTTTTTCTTGGCATTTTTATTAGCCAACAGCCTCTGCTACTGGTGTTAATTTATCTACCAATACAAAATTTTGCTAGCATTGGTGCCTAGATTTTTCATGTCATCTGTTTGGGATTCTTATGTTGAATCTTATTTTGTGTCGGCTTATTTATGGATGGGCTAAAACTTTTGTCTGTGTTCTGCTTATTTACATAATGAACACAATGAACTTGCATAATTTAGTTGAACTCAAGTTGTTTGCAAGCATGAAACTTTCGAACTTTCTTGACAGTCCTGACCCCATTTCTTCATGTCAATACTATCATCATCGCTATTTATTTATTTATTTGGGTGATTTTTTTTTCTGCATCTTATATAGGTGTTCCGGTTTAGCTAGTTTACTTTTTGTGAAATGTTAACCTGCCATCATCTGTCTGGTGTGAAGAATGTTTTGGTATGCTAGCTTTACTAGCATTTAGAAAGCTTTGGCCATATTTGGATTCATTTCATTTCTTGTTTTTAGTTTTCAAAAACACGCGCTTAAGTAAACATTTTTGGCCATATTTGGATTCCTTTCTCAACTTTGGAAATAAAATGGTTTGTTTTTTTAAATTTTGGAAGAGCATGTTTTGAAAATATGCTTGAGGCTATTTTGATTAGAAAATAATACTAATTTTGGTTGGTTAGAAAATAAATATTCTAATTAAATTGATTTATTATAATAAATATAATTTTTTTTAGTTTTTAGTTATGCTAATTTAGTATAAAATAATTAATTAATAATTTAGGATAATTTATCATTAAATATTATGGATACCTTTTAGGATTTTAGTTAAGATAATTGAATCTGTATTCAACTTATTAGTTAGCCTTATAATAATAAATTTATTTAGTTAGCTCAATGATAAATAAATATTTGGAAAGATTTTATTAATATTAAAGTATCATAATTAAATATGGGATAATAAATTAATTAATAAAGAAAATTGATCATTAATGTATTATTTAAATTAATTAATTTTTTCTTGTGATTTTAATTAAGATTGTTAATATTTTTAAATATTTCTTGTGATAATTAACCCAAGAATGAGTGCTTATTGACTTTTTGATAAGTAATTAACTATATAATGTGCATAATTATGGATTAATTAGTGTTTTTATTAATTTCAATATGTCTTAATTACTATTTAATTATGATAATTATCCCTAGGATATTTATTCAACAATAATGTAACTATCATGAACTAAATAATGACTTAGGGTGTGTTTGGGGCGGCTGCTGCTTTTTCAAGAAACTATTTCCTGGAGAAGCAGTTTTAGGAGCTGTCAGAAAGCGTCCGGTGAATAAGTGTGTATCTGTTTGGGATTTGCCGTGCTGCTTAGCGTCCGGTGAATAAGTGTGTATCTGTTTGGGAGGTGTGTATCTGTTTGGGAGATTTGTCGTGCTACTTCTATTTCTATTGAGAAATATTGTTTTGCCTTTATACATGTAATATATTGAAATAAGTGCAATTTTCAGAATATTCAGAATTAAATAATAGAAAGGGGTTGTACTGCTAAAAAAGCTAACAATCTAGTTCCAAATACTCTAATACATAAAAAAAGATTAACTATTTGAAACAGATGAGTATAATAATGAGGATAACACTAATAATCAACAAGCCTAAAATGAGGCTTGTCTTGAAATCCTGATGATCAAGTATTCGGGACATTCTTCTCTCCATCCTTGTATCTCTTCTCGACTGATTGTGTTCTGGAGATACCTCATCAGTGTCATCAACCCAATGGAAGTAGTCGCAATATAGAGGAGTCCTGTTTCTGTGACAAGAATAAAATTTTCCCCTGTAGCAGCTTTCCTTCTTGAACTAGTACTAAACACACTTATCGCCACAATAATAGAGTGGAAATTTTGAAGTGCTTGATGATATTGAGCTCATATTTCTCTTTATTATAATACAATATTGCTCTAATTAAAAAAATTAATTTAATACAACATTTAAGAAATTCTAAAAATATATAAGGAGTTTTAAAATTAAGAATTAAAGTTTATCTGTGCAAAAAAAAAAGAAAGGTGCAACACAGGTTGTTATATATATTTTGGAAAAATACATCAAGAAAAAAACATAGAGATAAAATATGAATCATCAACTACAAAATAACTAGGTGATGTTGCACGAGTAAGGTCGTTGTATTCACGAAAGCATCAATAATCTCCTCTCAACTGTAACATCTCCTCGACGCCTTCTTTCTCAGAAGTGTAGTACTCGTTCCTCCTACATTCCTCCTCTTGCACTGAAGTTCCGGCTTGATGTTGGTTAGCTTCCTTAGGCATGTTGGTAGGATCATCTTTTAGACCCTGAAATCGATATCATCTCGGTATGGATGCCTCCGTAAAAAATTATGGAGCGCAGTCATTGCAACAATTTTCTTCACCTATTTTTTAAAATATGTAGGCATATCTCAAAGTATGACCCACTTATTATTCCATACACTGAATGCTCTCTCAATAACACTGTATAATAACGAGTGTCTTTTGTTGAAGAGCTTATTCCTCCCTCTAATCACTTAGCCGTTGCACTCAAAGTCAAGGAGGTAATATCTCGTGTCGGGAAATGACTTCAAAAAATCTCGTTGCAGTGGATATTCCAAGTCTACGAGGAACAACCAAAAGAAAGGGAGCAGGGGAAGTACAATCACTCCAATCGACCTACACCCAGCGCAGAAAAGAAAAAAGAAAGTAATTTCTTCCTGAAGATATCACAGCTGGCGACAAACTGCATCAACATTACTTCAAGTGCTCGCATTGCTCTCCATGCATACTCAACAATGACAGATGTCGAACTACTTGACTCAATTTCAGAAATTTTTGAGGACATGCACTACTACTTACTTGCCGTAAAACTTCTAGAGGATCGAAACAAGCGAGAGGCTTTCTTCTTGCTGCTCCCTGAATGGAGGATTCCTTACCTCCGTTATTTTTTCAAGAGTCAAACTAGTTAGATGTCATGTATATATATATTTTTTACTTGGTGCTACTATAACAGAGTGACTATTTGACATTTCTATTGTAAACTATTCCTTGTGTTTACTATTTTTGACTTTTGATTATTTGTGGATGTTCATAGTTAAAATACTTTCATTGCACGCAATTTAAGCATTTTCCTGCATTGAGAATAACATGCTCTTTTGAAATAAGCTTAACATTATTCTTTCAAACAAATGAAGCCACCAAATGAGGAGATTATAAAGATGGTTGAGCAAGCGACAATCATTACCAGCACAGTTTGTTTGATTCATGAGTACTATCAGAGACATATTTATAAGACACCTTGTGTCTCATCGTCATCCGTGGGTGACAAATGGGTTAATGAACTAATGGAAGCTCATCCAAGTCAGACTCACAAAATGTTCCTGATGTCAAAAGTTATTCGAATTGCAATCCAAATATGGTTTGCATGGTTCTTCGCGATTGACATCCCGAGAAGTCCTAGCTATCACACTCTTCATTTTGTTGCACGATCGTGCAACTTTTGAGCATTTCCAACACTCTACAGAGACGATCAATAGGTATTTCCATGTCAGGGTTAACTCTTTAGTTAAAATGGCTACGAACATCGTAAAACCACTGGACCCATCTTTTGCTCACTCTACCAGAAATTCATAGCAACCGAGTTACATGTTGTTTTTTAAGAGATCTCACTCTCTATTTGTTCTTCAATAAATTAAAGAAAATTTATAAATAACTTAAATTGTGTCTTTTTTTTACAATATGTATTGCATCGGAGCAACTGATGGAACACATGTTGACGCACACGTGGGGAATGAGGAAAAAATAGTCAATATCGGTAGGTGTGGAGCCGATACACAAAATATATTAGCAGTATACGATTTCAACATCTGTTTTACATTTGTGATGGTTGGTTGGGAAAGAACTGCACACGACAACAAAATATTTAAATTTGCAACTCAACGACTTGAATACAAATTCCCAATGCCTCCGCAAGGTGTGTGCATTTAATTAATCCATCACTATTATATTTCCATTTGAACTAATCTACTAATGTTATCGTTGATGTTGAATTTTTGAATAACAATGTTTCAGTTGTTGTGTATTTTATGAATATGGATCGAGATTTTATCAAGAATTTTGATATTTGAGTGAGAATTTGAGAAGTGTGTGATAGATTGTGGTGGATTTATTAACAACAATGTTTTGGTTGCTTTATATGTTATCAATTTGGATTGGGAATTTATCATGAAATTTGATATTTGAGTAAAAATTTAAAAAATTGTTGTAAGATGGTTTTGCATTTTTTAACAACAATGTTTTGGGTGTTGTGTATATTTTGTTTTCATAAAGTATGGATGGATGGTGATAGATTTTGCTAAAAAAAATAGCCATGTTTCAGGTGCTTGTATATTTTGTTGTGAATATTTTGAAAAATGGATGAATGATGATGTTGTGTAATAACAATGCTATGCCCTTTGATTTCATGGATCAAAAATGATATATTTCTCTGTGAATACTTCATTTTTGTTGAATTCCATAGTTAAAGAAGCTCACATGACATGGTGAGCTTTCTCTTGTTTATATTTTGATTTTAGTGTTTCTCTTGGGCTTTTAAAATCTGATGCTACTATTTGTTTGGTGTGGTCTTGGTGAACTGTGGTGTGGAGGCATTGGTGTGGTGTGTGGATGTGGTGTTTGGGGTGGTGGTGTGGTTTGTAGGTGATGGTCTGTGGTGCGGAGAAGGTTGTGTTTGGTGTGAAGTTGGTAGTGTGTGGTGTGGAGATGGTAGTGTGGTGTATGGATGTGGTGTGGAGGTGGTGGTGTCTGATGTGGGCTTGGTGGTGTGTGGATGTGGTGTGCGGGGTGGTGGTGTGGTGTGGTGTGGTGTGGAGGTGGTGGAGTGTGGTGCATAGGTGGTGGTGGTTGGTATGGGGGCAGTGGTGATTACAATATGTTGTGGTAATTAATTGTGTGGCAAGTATTTATGCCGTGCAACTCTTTTTATGTTATAACACAATGGTTAAGACAGAAGAACTCAGTTCATCTGTTATGTGGGATAAAAACCTTTCCTTGTAGGACGGTTTATTTCATGACATAAACCAAGTGCATTTAAAAAGAATACTATCATATTATTAATTGTTAGTTTAATAGTTATTTTTTTTAATTTTGATTCTCATGTTACTCACAGTTTTGTGAGGTGTATGCTTTTATTTTGTAACGTTCAAACAAGATGTTTACTTTCAAGTATAGAGTGTGTTAGAATGAACAATTATGTTATAAACAACACTATAGTACATGGGTAGAAAAGTCGTTTGTTCAGAAACAACTGCAACACAACTGTTTCGAAACTACAAAAAGCAAACAGACAGCTTCTCCGCAGTAGCTTCCTGTCACAGCTTTTTAATAAGCTGCAACTGTCCCAAACAAACCCTTAGAGAAGTGTATTTTGTTTCTAAGAGAGTTTGAATGGGGGATTTGAGTTGGCCTCAATTTATTCATGGATGGCAACTCTCTCCAAAGTAATTTTAGCTAATGCATATCTTCAGCATACTTAGAATGCAATTTTTGCTTAACTACTTATATATAGGTATGATATTATTCTCTCATCTTTTCAGTATACTATAAAACACACAAAAGAGAAAATGCTAAAGTGGATGAGTCATTAGCAGGCTTTATGTGGAAAAGCTTTTCTCTCCTTTTTGGGATTCATAAATATCAAAACGAAAGAAAATAACTCATTTAAGACTTTTAAATTTAAATTCCTAAATAGGATGTTCTCTCTCTTTTAATATGAATTACTTGCATTTCAACTAAAATATTGAGAATGATGCAAACCTTATCGACCAATCATTGTGATGTGCTATTATATTTCTCAGAACACACATTTTATTATTTATGAAAAAATCAAAAGTTAGTTTTGAGATATTTTGCTATTTACACCATCTCATCTCCCTATTTCACAATTTTTGCACTGTTAAATTAGCTTTGGCGCGAGGGAGATCGCGAGAGAATACTCAGACCTCACCCAAAGATATTGCAGTGGGTTGAAAATGTAAAGAAGGCTACTAATCCTTATTTTGATGAAGTTCACGAAGCGCTTTACAAAATGAAGGCCTTGTTGAAGGCAAAGCAAAGCGAGTAAAAAAACCTTCGAACGATGTTGAAGCTGGATAAAACGTTGCTATCGTGGACCGCTGGTGCAGGTTATCTGTCAATGCTGTATTATAGGCAGGTAAGCTCATGTATTTCCTTGTTTCAAAACTGCTGTTGGTAAGTTCTGTTGTATAACATGCTAGGCATGACTAATTATTATTATCAGGCATTGCAAACTTTTCAAGACTGAACTGGTGCCCCTTTTTCTTACGTAGTTGTGAATTATGGCATGCAAAATTATTCTTTTTATGGGATTTTTTTCCTTTTGCATAATCGTGTGTTAAAGATCTCAAAAAAGTTGTCGGGAATTTTTTTTTTTGGATGGAGTAAGCACTGAAACCCAATTTATTAGAATTTTTATTTAATTTCTAATCAATTTGCTATGCATTTGAGCATGAAATATTTTTTTAAGCTAGTAAAATTTCTTAGAATGTTGTCAACTATCTGAGGATCTGATTAGGAGAGTAGATGTTTTAGATTCGACTTATGTTAAGAAAGGCAGAGGTAGACCTAGGAAGAGTTGGGCTTATTGTATAAAAAATGATCTTAATTTATTAGAACTAAATGAAAATATGACACTAAATAGGACGCAAAGGAGAAAAATGATTCATGTAGCCGATCCCACATAGTGGGACTAAGGCTTTGTTGTTGTTATTGTCAACTATAAAACAAGCGCAAGAATAACGAATGGGAAAATAGCAAGTGATGCTTTATTTTGTTTCATTGATTGATGTCCAAATACTCCAAAATAGAGAGAATTTGATGTCCAATCTCTTTATTTTCTTATATGTAGCCATACATATTATTTTAGAAGCATGTAGCCATACATATTATTTTAGAGAATATCTATTATTAATCCTCATGTTCTGATGTCCTAATATTCATTAGCTTAAATTTTTAGAATATGATTATATCCCCTCACCAAATATTTAAGTTAATCTCACTTGAAAATGGATTCAAGTGATACTTATTAGACCATCTCATCCCTTCCAGCTCATTGCATAAGTATGTTGAGATGCTTATGGGATCAAGAAATAGGCTTCTCTTTCCTTATATATTGATAATGACTTTTATCCAATGCCTTGAATTTGTAAGTTGATAGATATGTATTGTCAAAGAGAATGACCTATGTGATTTATGAATTTTGCTAGTTTTATTTTCTTCATTTTTACTTTAAATATTACTAATAAAAGATAGGCGAAAGCTTATGTGTGGCTACCTCATTTCAGTTGAGTTCTCTAGTTTTCAAAACCGAACCATATCGCTTGTTCGTTCAGTTCAACCATGAATGTCCAACATAGCTTCCGCCCAAAATCAACCAAAAATAGTTCTAATTTTGTTTACTTTTTATTTTTTCTTCTTTTAATCAAATGACTAGAATTATAAGATTTATGTTAAAAAAATAGATAAAATAATTAAAATATCAAATCTTAAAAATTTTGACTAGAGTCCTATTCAAAATATTCATGAATTAAGCGCCTTAAATCAAAATATTGTAAATTCAATTGGTTAAATATCATTATTGTATCATTATTATATCATTTGAATTATACTAAATTATTATTTTTTTTCATTCTATTATTCAATTCAAATCTCAACTCAATTTCATCCTAACTCTTAAATTTTAAACCTTTCAATCTTTCAGTTCATTATCTCAAGGAGTTAGAGAGTGATTTAAAAAAAAAAAAATTAAAAAATTAAAAAAATGATGAAACTTGCGCTATAAAAAAAAAACTCGTCGTATGTAAATAACTCGTGTTTAGCTCCTTAGAAGCCCTTATTCAATGTATTCGTTAAATAAGCCAAATATGAATATATGTTTTGACATCTATTTTTAAATGAGTTGAATATAAATAGGCAATTGCTAGATCTTGTATTGTGCACTATGTTTTATAAAATTACTAATTTATTAGCAAATAAGTAAAATGTTTTTCTGTTCGGCTGATTATTTATTTATATTAATTCTTTTGAAATTAGCTCATATTTAACTCATGTTAAATTTGAGTTCCACAGAGCTAAGCAGGAACATGTGCTCAAATTTGTCTACAACAATTGAAATCAAAATAACATTGATCTTATGAGTTGATGTTATTACTATGGCCCCATTGTTTCTCAGAGCAGATGGAGTTGTCAAATTGCTTGATTGGAGAAGGAAGGGGGAAGAGAAATGCAATGTTCCCATACTTTTATCAGATAAACCAACACCTCATGTTGAAAAGACTATCATGCAAAGCAATCACATAATTCCATGTAAACAATTGAAAAACATTGATCCAAACCAAATTTGATTTCTTGATAAGACCTTGGACCTCCTAATAATCTTTGCCTATTTTATTTACATCACAAGTCAAGATATTGTGGATCCTTAATCTGTCACCATTATCTTTGAATCAATAATTCATATGCAAGCTTAGTCTGACCTAATTATGCTACATCAAGGTCAGGGGTGTAAATGAGTTGAGTGGTGCTTGAGCCACCCTTGGCTTGAGCTTGGGTTTGATTAATTAATTTAGTTCGAGCTAGAGCTCGAGCTTTACGATTTCGAGTTGACTCATGTGATAGCTTGTTTAGTATGAAATAGAAAAAAAAATTAATTAAAGTGAGTATTATAATGAAATGACAAATTAGATGAGCATTTATGAGATAATTAATGAAAAATAACTTGATATAAAATGTAAAATATCATTTCTTGAGCATTTTTATTATTTTAAAGAAAAAATTTTTGAATTTTAATTGTTGAACCCAAATTTATCCTAGAATAACACCCAAGGGATAGAACAAAGGCAGAGAGGAGAGATTCTGTGACAGAAAATGGATTCTTTAAGGTTTGACCAAGATTCTTTAATAGAGTCAAGAGAGAGAGGCTCCCTTTTTGCTATACAGTATCTCTTATTTATGGGAGTTTGCCCCTCTTACAAAGGGAAGAATCGTTACATTATTTTGAATAAAAGAAAATCCTACAAAAAGGTTCCCAAGTGGGACCTTGTATGATTGTTACTACTTGATAATTTTCGACCGACGTGAGATTCTTATTCAACATGGGATAGCTAGCATTGCTTGCATTCAGCTTGAGCTGACCGACCCCAATCTTAGATTGCTCGATCATAGATCTTGGTATTCGCAGCTTGGTATCGGGCATTAATTTTGCTTGATCTGCCTATTAGTCATTTACGAGAGGCCTGAGTTAGTCACTTGAGATCGGGGCATGGTCTCCTGACATTGAGGTTTGCTTACCTGCTGTTCAGTCGCACCTTCCCTATTGATTTCTTGGATGGCATGACTCTCACTACTTTTCTAGCTCCATATGAAAAGGTGATCGACCCAGTCTATTCAACTGATTTTATTGTTTGGTCACCGAGGCCCCTGACTACGTGGCTCACATCTTTTTCTTGCTTTAGTTGGCTCGATCCGTAACTTTTTACTGTACATATTTAGTTTTCGAATTCTCTTGTCTTTTTAATATGGAGTTATGAGAAAAATAAGAGAATAAGAATTCTTTATATTTTTGTCTATAAAAACCCATGCTTTATTGGGATTCACTTCTTGGCAAGGGAATTTAGAAAGTAGGATTGAGAGTCAATACTTCCCTTTATAAATTGGTGTGTGTTGTTGTCTTATTCTTCATATATAAAATTATTCATTTCAAGATGCCATGTTTGTTGCACAATTCTTTGTTTCTTAATCTTACTACACTGACGGAGTTAATTCGAGTAGGTCCATCAGAAATGGAGATTGGAGGTTTGAAGTTTTTTGAAGTTGATATTAAACTTCCCCTATCTGCACCTGGATCTGCCATTGATTGTTTGACTCTGAGAGGTAGAACAACTAATCTTGTGAATATTTGGATGATGTTAGATATGATCCTATCCTTGATTTTAAAAGGGATTCAGTTGGCTCTGACGTTTATTCATATGCTTTCATACTTGGAGGATGAAAGGATTGCAAAGGAGAGTTTCGGTCTTACTAATGTGACCCCAAAAATGAAGCACCGAGAGTGCTATTGATCAGTGAATGTCGACAGAACTGTCGTTTGCTTACCATGTGACCCTCTCAGAGAGTGTGAAAGATTTGTTGGATGCCACTCTCAAAGAGCTTATGAGAAATAAAGAATTCATCTCCTTACTCGTAAAAAAACTGGAGTTTAGTGGTGGCTCAGAGTGGGTAGAAATCAAGTACCGGACCTTCAAGACATGGTTATAGACTTGGAGTGGGAT